CCGTGATTCTTCTTAAACTAGATTTCAAAAAAGTGTATGACCGTGTCAATTGGGACTTCCTTAGGCAGGTCCTCTTGGGAAGAGGTTTCTCGCCCGTTTGGGTTCACCGCATGCTGCAGCTAGTCTCGGGGGGCCAGACGGCTATCGCGGTTAACGGGGAAGTAGGCCAATACTTCCGTAACAAACAAGGGCTGCGTCAGGGCGACCCAACTTCTCCACTTCTGTTTAACTTCGTGGCTGACGCCTTGGCTGCAATGTTAGACAGGGCACGTCTGGCTGGCCACCTTAGAGGGGTTGCCTCCCAGTTGGTCCCGGGAGGAGTTTCCCACCTGTAGTACGCAGACTATACGCTGCTGTTGTTCGAACCTGACAGACATAGTATTGCTATGGTCAAGGCTATACTGTTGTGTTTTGAACTAATGTCAGGCCTAAAAATCAATTTTCACAAGTGTGAAGTGGTCGCCATGGGAATGGGGCCCGACGAAAGTCAGGAGGTGGCAGATCTGCTTAATTGTAAGTTGGGATCTCTGCCACTACAATACTTGGGGCTTCCGATAGGGGGTCGGTCTCCTACCATCCAGGATTGGGCCCCGTTATGCAATACGGTGGCCGGTCGGGTCGGCCCGTGGCGAGGGAGATTTATGTCGTCAGGTGCACGGCTTATTCTTACTAACTCAAGTCTCTCCTCGCTCCCTATGTTCACCATGGGGATGTTTCTGCTGGCCAAGGGTGTGCATGCCAAGCTGGACACGCCACGGTCCCGCTTCTTCTGGGAAAGAGCCAGCCCCAGAAGGAAGTACCACCTAGTCAAATGGACGGTTGTGTGCCGTCCAAAGTCCCAGGGGGGATTAGGGGTGATGAACTCCAGGCTGATGAACATTGCACTAATGTGCAAGTGGATTTGGAAGCTGTCTCAGGGTGAAACTGGTCTTTGGGTCCACCTTCTTCAAGCCAAGTACTTCCCGACGGGCAATTTCTTTCTTGCAACTGGACGGGGGTCTCCCTTTTGGAACTCTATCCAGGAGCTAAAACCAGTCTTCGCCATGGGGGCGAAGTTCCTGGTTAAGGACGGCTGCTCAACGCGTTTTTGGATGGACCTATGGATTGGCGACCAACCTCTCTGGTCCCGTCTCAGATCGCTGTATAATATTGCGCTCGATCCGCACTCTTTTGTGGCGCAAGTTTTGGCCGAGTCCCCCCTGTACTGCAGTTCAGGCGGGAACTCACTGGCCCAGAGACGGCAAGTTTGGGAAACCTGCTAACTCTGCTGGAAGGGGCTGCCCTTTCTCAAGGCCCAGACGTGGTGTCTTGGCGCCTTAATGCCTCTGGCAAGTTCTCGGTTAACTCCCTGTACCGAGCACTCGCTAGAGGTACACATCAGCAAGTTGCGACCGGGCTATGGAAGGCTCGGCTCCCTCTAAAAATCAAGATTTTCATTTGGCAATTGTGTCTTGACAAATTCCCAACTTCGATAAATATTGCCAAACGCAATGGACTGACTAACGGGTCGTGCGCGGTGTGTGGGGAGCCTGAAACTGCTAACCATGTGTTTTTCCACTGCCATATGGCTCGGTTTGCGTGGACTGCGGTCCGAGAGGCCGCTGGCCGGGATTGGGATCCTAGGTCAGGTGTTGAGCTATGTGCTCTCCTGTTGTCAGTGTCTGGTTCTGCTAGACGTGTCGTGTGGAGCTGTGTTGGGGCATTACTTTGGGCACTGTGGCGCATTAGGAACAAACTTACGATTGAGGGCGTATTCCCCTCACATCCGGCTGATGTTATCTTCAAATGTGTTATCTTTTTGCAGCAGTGGGCGCCGCTGGCAAGGGGCCAAGACGTTGAGCTGCCGCACCGCGCTCTCGCCCGTCTTCGATAGGTCTACACTCTTGAGAGAGCTCCCACGCCGCCTTCGTAGGGCTTGGGTGGTCCTTTTGGCTTCATTGATGCGAGCCTGCGTGCTCTGGTCTTGCCGCCTCCGGCATGTAATCCTGAACTTCTGCCCCCGCTTAGCTAGAGCTTTTGTGGGCTTTGAAGTGTTGTAAGACTTGACTCTTGTGTACGCTGCCTGTTGTTGGCTTTATTAATTTAAAGCTGGACGCGTCGAGCGTCTTCATTCTAAAACAACAAAAAAAGATGAAACTCGGCCAGGGAAAGAGGCCTACGCTCCAGCCCATCCAGGGAGCGTTGCCTCCGAGCGGCTTTGATCGAGTCGACGCCATCGTCCGTCCGTGGCACCGGGAATCAAGCATGTAAAGTTTACGGATCTGCTAATTTACATCCGGATGAAAACAATTCGCTTTCATCTGTTTTCTGTGCCCTGCGATCTGTGTGCTGAGATTCATGTGTGACCCGTTATTTTGTCTTGTTTCTCTTATCGGGCCCGTGTGGTTGACCTTTTTCCATCGCAACCCATGTCACCCTCCTCCTCCCGGGAGCAACTAGTTAACGAGCGTTCCTTTGGGAGCCTCGCAACGATCAGCGTCACTTGGCGCGCTCTCAGCCATTTGCCACATGTCGCGCTCTGGACGCTCCCTTCGGATTTTGTTTTTTTATTTTTCCGCACGTGTTTTCGGCTTTTTAAACGGTTTTTTTGGGGTTTTTCGACGTTTTGGTTTTCCCCCGGTGTTTCTTAGCTTTTCCATAAAAAAATCGAATTTTTTTTGCGCAAAAAAACGCGTTTTCTTTTTTTTCCTTTCGCGAAAGTCACGGTTTTTCTTCCGCGAGAGGCATGGTTGTGCTTTAGCAGTCACGACCGTGCCTTTCAGAAATGAAAAAAAAAACACGTTTTCTATTTTTTTTTCTTTCGCGAGAGTCACGGTTTTGCTTCCGCGAGAGGCACGGTTGTACTTTCGCGAGAGTCACGGTCGTGCCTCTCGAAAAGGGAAAAACAAAACGCGTGTTTTTTTTTTCTTTCAGGAGAGTCACGGTTTTGCTTCCGCGAGAGGCACGGTTGTGCTTTCGCAAAAGTCACGGCCGTGCCTCTCGGAAAGTGAAAAAATATGCGTTTTCTGTTTTTTTTCTTTCATGAGAGTTACGGTTTTGCTTTCGTGAGAGGCACGGTTGTGCTTTCGCGAGAGTCACGGCCGAGCCGTGACTCTCAGAAACGGAAAAAAATGTGTTTTCTGTTTTTTTCCTTCCACGAGAGTCACGGTTTTGCTTCCACGAGAGGCACGGTTGTGATTTCGTGAGAGGCACGGACGTGCCTCTTTCGGAAAGGGAAAAAACCATGGTTCCGGTCTGGTTTTTTCGCCCGGTTTTTTCATCCGGTTTTCTCGTGAAAAAAATTCATCAAAACCTATCAACATGGGATCTAGTTTTGAAGACCTCGACGCGAGGAATCCAACGGTGAAAACGGTTCAAGATTTGGACGCATGGTTTAAGAGATAAAACGTTTTGAATAAACGGATCTACGAAAAAAGAGAAAATTCCCAGGTTGCGACAAGTGGCGCGCTGCATGTGCGCCATTTGTCGCGACCTGGGAAAGTGGAGTGCTCTTTGCAACGAGTACTGCCTCCTCCCAGCCCCTTTGTGACTTCAAACACGCAACCCCGAACAGAGTCGAGCGAGAGAGAGATAGCCATGGTGATTTGGAGCTCCGCCTCGCCGCTCGATCTAGTGTTTTGGTGGTGGCTTGTCCGCGCTCTCCGTCGTGTTGCCCCTCTTCCTCCGCCTCCCTTCTGTTCCCACCGTCGGGATCTGCGGCATCTCTCGGCCCCGCACCGACCCGTCCCCATTTCCGTCGCCG